TTGCTGAGTGCAGCTGGATCTGATTTGAGATGACAACAGTTGTGTCATCTGCAAATAGAATTGTTCAAGTTGCTGTGAAACATCAGGTTTCTTGCTGATGTATATAAGGAACACAAAGAGGGCTCAGCACACTGCTTGTAGCACATCTATGTTTATTAATCAGGATGGTGAAGAATAGTCATTAATGGTCACATGTTGGTGTCTGTCACTCAGGTGAGGTTTCATGTATGAAAGAACATGTCCACTTATTCCATAATGTTCTAATTTGAACAGTAGAATGTTGTGGTGTTATGGGCTACTGTATTAAAGGCTTTTTCAGATCAATACAGAGGCCCATCAGAAATTCATTATTTTCAAGAGAAATAGATTGAGCTGAACATTTTTATTAGTGCATTATTGGTGCTTTGTTCTAGCCTGGAGCAGAACTGACACAGGTTAAGATTATTGTATTTGAATGTGAAGTCCTACGTTTATTTTTTTTTTTTCAAAAAAAAAAAAAAAAAAAAAAAAAAAAAAAATTAGTATTCTGATTAAATAAAAATGTACCACAGTTAACCACTGCTATCTGTCAAGTTTTAAGTAGTTTCTATGTATTAGGATTAGTCTGCCTGAAATGCCCCTGCATGATAGTGGCTTTCTTTGTACAGTGGACCCTCGGTTATCGGCCGTAATCCGTTCCAGAAGGTCGGCCTAAATCCGAAAAGGCCGAAAACCGAAATAACATTTCCCATAAGAAATAATGTAAATCCAATTAATGTTTCAAGACACTCAAAAGTATTAACAAAAAATACATTTTATGAAGAATAACTATAGTTTTACATACACAAAACGATGAGAAATAATTATAAAGCACAAATTTTAATGATAAATGAACATTACATACCTTTATTGAAGACTCTTGTTTGCGTATTGAAGGCGAGGAGGGGAGAGGGAGTTGGGAATCCCCCTCCATAGGGACTTCAGGTATCAAGATAGGGCTTTGATACTGCCACAGTACATTCATTACTTACCTTAAAATATTTGTAGTCTTAATGTAGGGTGAGAGTCAAGTAATATTTTTTTGTAGGAATTCAGTGTAGGTAGCCAGCAGATATAGGTCCACATATGTAGCCCCCAATGGGCTACACTACACAGCCATATTATTACATCAACATACCATGTTTACTGAGTTTAATCATTTCTAACAACTACCTTTAGATGCCATCATAAATAAAGGGAGAAGTAATGAATAATTCATGCTGAAAATTGTAAACAAACGTTTATGAAGGGTGGTGACTGGACCAGATGTCAAATTCAGTTTTCTCTAGCGATGAATCAGAGAAAACGTAATGTTTACCCTCCACCCTCCTCCCTCCCTCCTCCTCGATTTGCCGGTACTCACCGCTCAACAGCATATAAACATTGCATGTTTATATGCTATATGCTATGTAACGTGTTTCTTATACAATTTTAAAGAAAATATCGTAGATGGATTAATGAAAATGCCTATATTAACATAAAATAAGACATTTAATGTGCCCAAGAGTGATTATTATTATGCATCCAATACGGCCAATCTCCGAAATGACGGCCAAAAACCGGGATAGAATTTTGGCCAAAAAAGCGGCCAAAATCTGAACTGGCCAATAACTGAGGGTCCACTGTACTCAAAAAAACAAAATTGTAATTACACATTGTAACCTTTAGAAAGAAATAAACCTTTACTTTACTAGCAAGTTTAAAATTGGACAGTAACTACTGACTTCTATTGGGTCACCACTTTTGTGGACTGGTGTAACTTTTGATAGCTTATGTCATGGAAATTTTTCATTTCAATTGTTTATTGAACAATGCTGCAATAGTTGGCAACAGCATATAAGCTTTCTTGTAGGGATGTGCCACAGCATTGGTATCAGCTTAATATTATTGGCATCAGTAGATATTAGCTAATTTTATGGTTATCAGTACCAATGTAGGCCTAAAACTGATTATTGGTATCAGATTAAAAAATTGGCATTGTCCCATCCCTACTTTCTTGTGTATTTGTGGTGGTATATGTGCCTTGTTTCCTAATTTATTTTTCAATGGTATAACTACTAAATAACCTTGGTTGAAGTGGTTAGGGATACTTAGTGAGCTTGGGTAGTTATAAGTGAGGTAATCTCTAACTTGGGTAGAAGTGTTTAATTTGTTTACTGTCTCAGAAGCTCCGAAGGGAGGTTCATTAGATTTAATTATGTTTTAGAGCTATTTCTTTGGATCTGGTAAACTTACTAGTGCCTAACACCTGAGAAAGTGTTTTCCACATCTTTTTTAAAGCTCCTTTATTATGACTGAATCTGCTAGCATAATACAGTTGTTTTGATTTCTTTAGGAGTTTAGTGAGTGTAATAGTATATTTCTTTAGGTAGTAGCCTCAGTCTGTATTGCTTCTCTTAGATATACAGTATATCAATGGACCCAAGAGACATTTGGTTAACCATGGGTTATATAATCTCTTCATTGTCATCTGTTCAGTTTTTACTGGGAGATATCTATTGTAGAGGCTTTGTACTGTGTGCAGGAATGCATGAAGACTGTTTGCTTACATCCCCTCACCCTTCCTCACACCCTCCCATGCACCACTATGACAAAGAAGTTGCCCAATGCTTAATGGGAGGGAGGGAGTCATCTATAGTCAGCCTGCCATGGTGCTCCTTAATGAAAATGTATGATACCAATAGAAATGAATTCCAATCTAGTGCATCTTAATAGAAATTGCACACTACTAGTGGAAACAAAACTTAGTCACAGAACACTGAAAATATGAGCTATGATCATACAACTTCAGGTTGTCTACTGTACTATAATTTACTTGAGCACAGTAAATGCTAATGTACATAAAAAAATGAAATACATGTATGTCCTTGTGGAATATCACTAGTAAGGTGCCACAAGAATCAGTGCTTGTCTTAACATTTCTAATCTATATAAATGACTTGGTGAGCAAGATAACATGTATAAAGGTATTCAGGGAAACCAGTTAGATGGACCTGAGTGCAGGCACAGTGCCTGAACCTCTGAAGGAGGGGTAGGGGATATCTGCTATTATGAACTGTAGTATCAGCATCCCTCTGGCAAGACAGTGATGGAGTGAATGATAGTGAATGTGTTTCTTCTTTAATGGGTCATCCTACCTCGGTGGGTGATTGCTGGTTTGTCAAAAAAAAAAAAAAAAAAAAAAAAAAAAAAAAAAAAAAAAAAGACTTGTAAGACAGGGACCTAGCAGTCACCCTCGACAAAATTTTGCCAAGGAAGATTCACATTAGCAAAATGCAGTGGTAAGCAAATCCTATCCAACACTGGCCAACTATAAAATAACAAATAGATATATGGATGAGAAAATGCTGAAAATGCAGTTTACATTGTACGTTACACCAAAATTTGAAAGTGCCCATGTAGTACGGTGTCTGTACCTAAAACTATGTTAACACGCTAAAAAAAAAAGTTCAGAGACAAGCTACAAAATAGCTCTTAAGAGCCAAATATAAAATAAGTTTAAAAGAAAAGGCTGATATCACTGAATATGTGATCTCTGGCTGGCTGATAGGAAGAAAAAAGAAGACAATCACATTCAAGATTATAAAAAGATATGAAAAATTTAAAATGAAGGCTTCCTAATCCCATCAATTAGTGCAAGAGGCCACACCTACAAAGAAAAGTTGACAGAGTGGCAAATCAATGAAAAATCATTTGAAGCAAGTGCTGGCAGTAATGCTAAGTCTGTTATATTTGGGACATAGCTGAAGAAAAATTATTCTGCTGTTAGTCCTTTACAACAGCTTAAGAGTTTACAAAGCAGTATTTGAAGGGGAGTGAAGGACATAGCTAATATGAGTACAATACAGTAAACTCTCAATACAACATACTAATAGGGGAGCAAGAGGTCTGTAATGGCAACTTTGGTAGATACAGAAGAGATTAATTTGCTGTGACAATGTCAATACGATTCAGGATTGCTTTATAAAATAGTTTGTGACAGAACCAACTAGAGGAAACAATCTGCTAGAATGGTTGTTGCCAACAAAGAATCACTAATTAATAATCTCGAGGTAAATGATGAGCTTTGGGAGAGCGATCACAAATCACTTAGTTTCGGGCAATTCTGTAACCAAAGGACTATACTTGTTTCTGAGTCAACTGACCCAGGAATTTTATTCTGCATTTCTGAAATCTGTTACATAGAGCTGCATTACATAAGAAGGTTTACTGTATCTTAATAATCTATGATTTAGGAAGTTTCCAGTAGGGTGATATTTATGTTTTCAGCATCCATTTATCAAAGAGTTCTCCTGTAGAAGCTTGGGAGGTGCAGGCTTTCTTTGAGATTAACATTCATCTTTTATAGCAAAGATCTATCTCTCAGGGTACTCTATAGTACCATGCACACTTTACTGTAAGCTGCCAAAGCCATTTGTTTAGTGAATATAATTTATACAAGATGATGACCATAAATAATTAAAATTTTACCTTTATTTTTTTTTTTTTAAGATTATTCAACTTGTTCTATTTTCACATTTTCACATTCACCTAGGCTACTCAATGCATCAATTTAAAAAAAAAAAGACTATTCTTCAGGAGTACAATGCCATCATGCCATAGGCTAAACAATGATACAGTACAGGAACTCCACTATAAACAAATACACATTACAAGTTTCCCTTAAAATCCCTTAGTATGTAGTCATTTTTTTTTTGTAGTATTTTGGTTATGATCTAGGTCTATGAATAAAGCCATAAGCCATCAAAACAAGCATGCACTTACCCACAAGTAATCAATGGCAATAGTACAAATATAACAACCATGCAATGTCTTAAGCAAAAATGAGCAAAGCACTTTTTATGCAAATATTGTAGTGAAAACAAAATAAAATACATGACTTAACACAATGTATATTAAAAGTGGGAAACCTATACAGTATGCATATAAAAAATTAAGTAATATACAATACTACTGTAGCAAAATAAAGACTGCACACTTACATAACTGGAAATCATGGGTCATCCTAGGCTAGGGCCACAATATTATTACAGCAGCCCTCATGGTGCCACTTGTGCTTGGATTCCCTCATGCTGTAAAACATATACATAAGTATTAAAAACTGCCCAAAATGCTCTGGAAAATAAAATTTGTTTGTTGTTTGTAAGGTAACCAATTAAATACAAACATTTTCATAAATATTCACCAAAATTGTGGGAGACGGCCGACTTGTTGAAAAAAAAAAAAACTAAGATAACATATGAAATATCTCTAAATTACAGTTAAACACTATTAAAAATCCCCCCAAAAGTAAAATCATTACAGTACTTTCCAAATTTACTACAAAAGTTATGCTGTAATGCTAAACTGTACATACATTAAAAAATCCTGAAGCGACTAAAAAATTAAATACCATGATTATAAAAAAACAACCCCAGCATTACATGTAAAAACAGAGAGGAAAGATAAGAATAAGGAAAAATTCACAAATAACCCACACTTGTAGAGGAAACCTTAGACAACATCTAAAATTTCTTCTTTATATGTGGGTTATATCTGAAATGTAAAATGCACCAAGCTCCATAAACTGCCAGTGGGTCATAACAAAACCTATATCAATACTATTTACAGGTACTCCTCACTTAATGACCGAGTTCTGTTCCTAAGAGTAGGTCGGTAAGAAAATTGGTCGCTAAGTGAGGAGCCGGCCCCTACTGATATTTCAAGCATACTGTACTGGTAGCAGGTTGGTCATTTAGAGAGAATGGATCAAAGTAGAATGACATGGAAAGCATATAAATCTATAGGGGAAGGAAAGAGGGGTAGGGGTCGTCCTCGAAAGGGTTGGAAAGAGGGGGTAAAGGAGGTTTTGTGGGCGAGGGGCTTGGACTTCCAGCAAGCGTACATGAGCGTGTTAGATAGGAGTGAATGGAGACGAATGATACTTTGGACCTGACGATCTGTTGGAGTGTGAGCAGGGTAATATTTAGTGAAGGGATTCAGGGAAACCGGTTATTTTCATATAGTCGGACTTGAGTCCTGGAAATGGGAAGTACAATGCCTGCACTTTAAAGGAGGGGTTTGGGATATTGGCAGTTTGGAGGGATATGTTGTGTATCTTTATACGTGTGTGCTTCTAAGCTGTTGTATTCTGAGCACCTCTGCAAAGGCAGTGATGGTGTGTGGGTGTGGTGAAAGTGTTGAATGGTGATGGAAGTGTTTTCTTTTTGGGGATTTTCTTTCTTTTTTGGGTCACCCTGCCTCGGTGGGAGACGACCGACTTGTTGGAAAAAAAAAAAAAAAAAAAAAAAAATATAGAACTAGGCATTAAAAAACAATAAAGTAAAATACACATACAGTACACTGGTCGGAGAGCTGGTTGTTAGTCCCAGTCGTTGTTAAACAGGCAGGTCGTTAAGTGAGGAGTACATGTAGTTACTTTTCAACCGATATATGGAGAACCTATGGAGCATGAATAAATTTTGTTTCAAAGCAGAGAAGCCACATTCTACAGATGCAGTCATTGATGGAGCCTTGCTAGCTAGTTCACTATGAGCCTTTTCCAAGTCATTTAGCATTACAAAACTCAAAATTTGTTATACAGTCTTGCTTTAAATTCTTTGGACATGTAAACAACTCTAAGCTGTAATTTCACAGTAGCTGTGATTTCAGTAACTGAAGAGCAAGCCCAGGAAATTCTTTTCCTAACCCTTGTATCTTAACCTGCGTAATGATGCTCTAGAAATCTGAACAACTCCAAATTTGAGAATCCGATAATAACCTGGTTAACCCGTAAACGGTCCAAACATATACTATATACGTTTTTTCAACATTTGAAAGTATGTAAAAAAAGTAGATCTTTTATTTTTTTGTACATTTGAAAACGTGTAAAAAAACCTTTGATCTACTTTTTTTTGTTATATTTGAAAATATGTACATAAAAAAACTATATCTACTTTTGGACCACTACGCATGTGAACGTAGATCTGCTTGGACCATTTACGGGTTAAATATCGAAGTGTATTCCTGCAATGTTTCTGGCAGAAATCTGTGGATGGGGGGTCAGAAGTCCCACTGCCAGCAATGGGACTTCTCAATGACAAAAAAGATTGTGGGGGAAATTTTAGCATCGGAATGGGTTTCTTATAAAGAGCGAAAAACTAATGTGAAGGACCTGGGGGTGATAATGTCAGAGTATCTTCACTTTCAGAGACCACAACAATATATCTACAACATCTGCTAGGAAAATGATAGGTTGGATAAACCGAACCTTCAAAACTAGGGATGCCAAGTCCATGATGATTCTCTTCAAATTGCTTGTTTTCTCTAGGCTGGAATATTGCTGTACATTAATTGCCTCATTCAGGCCACGCAAAACTGAAGACCTAGGGAATACACAGAAAACTTTCAAGGCACACAGAAATAAGATAAAACACCTAAATTACTGGGAATGGCTGACGTCCCTTGATTTGTATTCCCTGGAATGCTCGTAAGAACGATACATGATAATATATGTACACTTAAAAAATCCTTGAGGGACTAGTCCCAAATCTGCACACAAAAATCACTCAATACAAAAGCAAGACTCAGCAGATGCAACATCCCCCAAATGAAAAGCAGGGGTGCAACGAGTACATTAAGAGACAACAAAGTAAGTATCAGGTGCCCAAGACTGTTCAACTGCCTCTCAGCATATATAAGGGGGATTACCAATAGACCCCTGGCTGTTTTTAAGAAGGCACTGGACAGGCACCTAAAGTTAGTACCTGATCAGTTGGGCTGTGGTTCGTACGTTGGTTTACATGTGACCAGCAGTAACAGCCTGGTTGATCAGGCCATGATCCACCACAAGGCCTGGTCACAGACTGGGCCATGGGTGCACTGACCCCTGAAATCCCTCTCCAGGTATACTCCAGGTATTAGGCTGCTCAATCCTACTTACATGACTTGGAAAAAATTGGGCTAATACAATTTAAATTAATAGTTTTCATCTTATGTCTGGCAGTGGCATATTATTTTACTCAGCAAGATGGAGAACAGCAGCAATGCAAATCCAATGTTGCATATTCCAAAGATAGATTTTCAATTATCAAATATTTCTGTCTAATAAGGTTCAAAATATGAACTTCTTTTACACCAGGTTAAATTAAATTAAAAGAAATAATAAAAATGTATTATGGGAAAACACATTCACACCCACACCATCACCATGTGACTAAACAAAACTATCAATATACGAATGCCCTTCCTATAAATGAAAGACTACAGTATATTAAACCCGATGGGTTATAATGCCATATAATAATATACAGTACATCAAAACCATTAAACTAACCTCCTTGGGCAGATGTGTGAGAGTCATGCCTGCAAAAAAATAAAAATGTAAGTATACAGCTTTACTATGGTAATCATCATCCTAATACAAAATACTACTTTTCAATAATGCCACTGATGCCCATTATTAATTCTGGTGTTTTTAAATCAGCCAGATGTGGTGATACACGTAGGATGTGATCACATACGTGGTGCATTACTGCATATCAGAGGAGGACAAGGTGCAGTGTTACCTGGCCATGTTGGAAGCTATCACGAGTAAATGGATGAATTTCACTCCCTCTTGCAATTAGCCAACTCTTCCTTCCTCAAAGAAGACTGAATTTCTGCTATGTATAATCACTATGGACTCTAATGGCTAACATACACCTACTTCAAATCATATTTAATGAACAGACAACAGTAAATACTGTATGTAGTGTAGTCATAAATGCCTTGTAGATACAAAATGCACAGCAGAAAGTGTGACTATGTATTTTGAGCGATAATTCTGAGAGCTGATTTTTTACTGAGTAACAACTGATTAAAGGTAATTAGCTGTTGCTGATCCCCATGCTCAGATACCATATGTACAACCATAGGTGAAGTATGGATAGATTACAGAGTAGTACACAGTGAGCAGGGATGCTTGAGGAACATAATAGGGTATTTCTGCGAGAATACCCACTGTTTTGGAATTTCCTTTTAAAAATGTTCTGGATGTGTTATGAATTTTAGATGACTGTCCAAATGTATTCCAAAACTGGTGCATTGTTAATCTTTGTGTTCAGATGAACATTTTAAGAGTTTTTCCCAAACATTATATAGATTTTCTCAATATTTAGAGTGGTTTGTTAGTTGTGATCCAAGTGGACATTTCTGCAAGTTCGGTGTTTACAGGGTTGCTGAGTGCAGTCGGATCAGCATTTGAAGTGACAAAAGTTGTGTCATCTGCAATTAGAATCAGTTTAAGTTCCTGTGAAGCATGAGGAAGGTCATTCATGTAGATAAGGAATATCACAGAGCCCAGGAACTCCTATAATGACTAACAGGGTTGCTGAAAAATAGTCATTAATGGTCATATGTTGATGTGTCCTTTGAGTAACAATCAATGTGTGAGAGAGCATATCCTCTTATTCCATAATGTTCTAATTTGAGCAGCAGAATATTGTCATCTACTGTACCAAAAGCTTTTAATAAGTAATAAAGAGGCCCACTGGCTATTCACTATTTTCAAGAAGCCAAACTGACATGGCTTAAGGATACTGTTCAATTATGAAGGCATAAATTTACTTATACAGTGGACCCCCGGTTTACGATCAGCTCCCAATGCAACCAATTATGTAAGTGTATTTATGTAAGTGCACTTGTATGTGCATGTTTGGGGGTCTGAAATGGACTAATCTAATTCACAATATTCCTTATGGGAACAAATTCGGTCAGTACTGGCACCTGAACATACTTTTTTTAGAAGAGAATGAAATAATATCGTAAACCGGGGGTCCACTGTACATATACAGGAAGGCCCCGGTTTATGGCAATTCGCTAATAAGGACATTTCAAATTATGTATACCCAAAAATTCATTTACACGGCTCCTGATTCATATTACAGTGTCTGAATGCCATTTGTTTGTTCACATTCTCCATGAGCTCCACATCTCTCTATTATGTCTGGAAACGGCTTGATAAAGCTCCTGGAGAGTGAAACATTGCCACCATAAAATGTCACATTAGTTGCACTTGTGTCTTTTTACTTTACATGTTTTAAAGTTATTGCATATTTTGTATACATATACTCTGACAATTGTACTTGTATGTACTTGTACCTAAATAAACTTACACACTATGCCGGTGTGCAGGTACATTAAAACCACTAAGAATGTCTCACTAGTGTTGATGCAATAATAATACAAATACATAATTATTCTGGGGGCACTTTAAATATTGTACATTACAGTGTCAGACATTTTCATCAATCCATCTACGACATTTTTTCAAAATTATATAAGAAACATGCTGCATATCATATAAACAAAATAGTATATACAATCATAATAAAATAAATAAACATAATTGTGAGGTGTGGTAGCCTGCTCAGCTACCACACCTCCTAACTTACTACAATAAATACTAGTCACCTCTCCACCTACACTAAGATTACAAATATTTTAAGGTAAGTAATGAGTGTATTGAATATGCTTTTTACTTTATTGTTTTTTATGCCTAATTCTATTAATAACTTAATATATGATAGTGTTTGTAGATGAATGGTTCAGAGAACCGACATGTTGATAAATTAGACACATGTGCAACTCTTGGGTATCTTTATTGAGGAAACGTTTCGCCACACAGTGGTTTCATCAGTCCATACGTAGGAGAAACTTGAAGAATAGGAGAAGAATGAGGTAATCAGTCCCTCAACCTTGAGTCGATGTGTTCAGTCCATCAATCTATTCAAGATTGATGGACTGAATACATCGACTCAAGGTTGAGGGACTGATTACCTCATTCTTCTCCTGTTCTTCAAGTTTCTCCTACGTATGGACTGATGAAGCCACTGTGTGGCGAAACGTTTCCTCAATAAAGATACCCAAGAGTTGCACATGTGTCTAATTTATCAACATGTCGGTTCTCTGAACCATTCATCTACAAATCTGTCAGGCACTGCAACTTCTTGGGATCTTAATACTTAGGAAATTCTTGTGCCTAAATGCTCTGGTTTGAAAGCTATTCAACTTGAACAAATGTGACATGACTCTAGACTGTGCTTTCCTTCTATACGGTTTATAGTGACTTCTCTTGGATATGCCTTGGGTAATCAAGAGATGACTGAACTCTGGAAACAAGTGGGCAGAATGATTACCATTTTCGTCATGTTTTCAGGTTTGCTACCCGTAATGGACTGATGAAACCACTGTTGGCGGAAAGTTCCAATAGAGTGACCCAAGAGGCATGTGTGAATTTGTATAGATGAAATAAACGTATCAGGATGTTATACACTATCAATCTAGGCAATCCTTCAGCTTTACGCTATAGGCCTGGGAACAGCACTAAGAATGCAGCCATCATAGGTCTGTTTAGTGTGAAATCTATAAACTGTATTTGGTGTAATACCTGCACATAAATTAATGCTGGGTCATTATTTCAGTGGTACAATCTTTAACACTTTAGGATGTCTAGGGGAAGTTTTGGCTTAACATTATTACGAACAACTGCAACACAATGAAATGCTTTCTTGTGATTTGTGGGTATGATTAAGATTCGGCATATTTGCGAACATAATTATAAAGGTAACCACAGAGGGAGTAGCCCTTAAATGAAAGTCTCGCTAACTCTGGGGATCCAGGATTTTGACTAGATTGTTCCAAAAAGTAAAGTATTTATTTAATTTTTTCTTTCTAGGCTTGCAATGAGGTTGGAAAAGAATTTTGGTTTATTAGCTTTTTGGGATCTGGTTAATTTTACTAGTGCCCAGTTATTTTGGAGAAAGTGTTTTCAGGTCTTTTTTATTTTCCTTATAACATGAATCTGTTAGTACGTTAAAATGTTTTTATTTCTTTATGAGCTTTTATTTCTTAAGAGCTTTTGTGTCAAATATTTTGGCATTATCCTTTGTTAATCCTACCTGCTTCTCATACCTATGATTTTCTCAGTGGACCCAAGGAAATACATAAGCACACAAAGCTTTTAAGTTTTTGTTTAAATTCATTATAACTTACAATTTTTTTTGAGTGTGATGCCTGTCAACTCTGTTACAGTTTTCCAGGAAGTTAAGTGTCTTAGGTCAGTGTCAGCATTACAGTGCATAGTAAACTCCAATGTAAACCCTCCACTTAATCTTCTTGATGGGTACAACAGAACACACAAGTCACAATACAAGGCACAAGGCACTCGACAACATCCCTCGTGTCAGTCTCACACCATGCAAAAATGCAATGCACATAAAGGGCCCAAAGATCTGAAATTCACTACCTGAACAGATATTATTATAATCATTTATAATCATGGGGGAGTGCTAAACCCATAGGATTATACAGCACACATGGGAGGGATGGAAGGTATTCAGGCTCAATTCAGGTAACCGGAGCACAGATCCAATTCCCTAGATCAAGAGCCCCTCACCAGCATCAAGGAACCTCCCTTGAGGGGACCTAAACCTGTAAAGGATCCCCTGACTACATACAAATTTAGGGCTATGCTTAAAAAATCATCTCATCTCTCAATATTAACCAAACCAATCAAAACAACTTCTAATCAGTTTGAAGCAACTCTCCCAAATATTATATTATATGACCTTTAGTCAATAAAAACATCTACCAATCCATAAAATATTACTGTTTGAACCATTAATTTTAATACTGCTTTTATTATGTGCAACTTCAAAATTATTATTCTTATAAAGCTCCACCTTGACTACCTTGCATTAGTATTAAAATAATATAAAGATTTATTAAATAGTTAACCACTCTTATCGTGTCTAGACTTTAGTAGTTATTATGTGTACAGTGGACCCCCGCATAACGATTACCTCCGAATGCGACCAATTATGTAAGTGTATTTATGTAAGTGCGTTTGTACGTGTATGTTTGGGGGTCTGAAATGGACTAATCTACTTCACAATATTTCTTATGGGAACAAATTCGGTCAGTACTGGCACCTGAACATACTTCTGGAGTGAAAAAATATCGTTAACCGGGGGTCCACTGTACTAGGATTAGTCTGCCCGAAATGCCCCAGCATGATAGTGACTTTCTTTGTACTTAACAAATCAAAATTGTAATTACACACTGTAACCTTTGCAAAGAAATAAAATCTTTATTCTTTAGTATTATTTTAAAGATGTAGGGTAAAATGTAATACTATGTATGGCATCAATAATTAGTAGCTTTGGAGATTCAAATAAGGGCACATTGTGTTGCTTAACACATGATAGCTTCGGTTCATGTAATAACTGGTTTAAGGTGAATAGATGAGGTAAAACTCCAAAGCACAAATTCCATCAGCACAGGTTAATGAAAGACAGTGTTAGTAGTACAGACTGGGCAATATAATAGCAAATTTTAATGAATATAACTACAGTTTTTTATACCTTTTTAAAAGAGTTGGATATACATGTAATGTATTAATGTATTATCTATGGGCTGACCTAGAAACTTAACCTCATCATATTTCTTTACTTTGGATCCATTGATTTTGATGTCTAACTGTGGACAAGGTTGATTCTCATAGGTAATATACAATAAATTTTTTTTTCTATATTAAGGGTAAGTTTCAGAGTTTATTTATCATCAATCAGATGTAGATCTTTTCAGATCATTAACTATAGTATAGTATTTAAAGTCGGTGGGGAAGGGGGGTGAAGCATAAGGTATAAACCATGGTACAGGTGGGGCTCGAACTCACGGCAAGTGAGTCGTAAAATTACTCACTTGCCATGAGTTCAAGCCCCACCTGTATCGTGGTTTGTTTGCAACCATGTTATTACAATTTCATGAGTCATAAGATATAGGCTGTGTCATCAGCAAAGAATACAGCCTTAAGATGCTAGGTGGCAATCAATAAGTCATTGATATAGAGGAGGAAGAGAAGAGGACCCAGAGGACTCTAAGGCCACCCAATTTAATTTGTTGGGTAAATGAGGAAATGTCTTTTCTGAATACATGCTGTTCTCTGTTAAGTAGGATCTGAAGTAGCTGTACGTGAGCCCTGAGTCTGTAGTACTGTAATTAAGTTTACAAATTACTGTATTGTGATCAACTGTAACAAATACTTTACACAGATCAATAAAAAAAGCCAATATAATGCTCGTTTCTTTCAATTGCTGCATATATTAACATTTTTGAATAACATGATTAGAATATTCTGGAGTTTGAATCCAACATGGCAAAAAGCAAGGACATTAATATACTTGATTAAGACCTGGTCTGAGACCAGGCTGTGGATGACTTTCTCAATATTTTTAATAGTACTATAATAGATTAGATATTAATCTATAACTGTTAACAATTCAATCACCAACTTTGTGAATGGGTCACATCTTGGCTCTTTTGAGCCAGTCTTGAAATTTGTGTTCTTCAAGTGATTTGTTGATAAATAGCAGCTAAATCATGTAGTCTCCCATTTACATTTGGTATACACTTTATTTTCCAGTCTAAGACTGGACAACTGGGACAATGATCCCAGAAACATTAATAAATAATCAATTAAACTGAATCAAAATTTATTTTCAAAATACAGTGGACCCTCAACCAGCGATGGCATCGATTAACGATAAATCTGACTAGCGATACATTTTATCGCAAAAATTTTGCCTCGATTAGCGCTAAAAAACTCGACCAACACTATTCGTTCCGTCTGAGACGCGTCCACTTCTGGCCAGTGTTTACAAGCCAGCCAGCCACCGCGGTCGCTTCCAAGCATACAATCGGAACATTTCATATTATCACAGCCTTTTTAGTGATTGCACCTGCAAAATAAGTCACCATGGGCCCAAAGAAAGCTTCTAGTGCCAACCCTACAGCAAAAAGGGTGAGAATTACTAAGGATATGAAGAAAGAGATCATTGCTAAGTATGAAAGTGGAGTACATGTCTCCGAGCTGGCCAGGCTGTACACAAAACCCCAATCAACCATCGCTACTATTGTGGCCAAGAAAACGGCAATCAAGGAAGCTGTTCTTGCCAAAGGTGCAACTATGTTTTCGAAACTGAGATCGCAAGTGATAGAAGATGTTGAGAGACTGTTATTGGTATGGATAAACGAAAAACAGATAGCAGGAGATAGCATCTCTCAAGCGATCATATGTGAAAAGGCTAGGAAGTTGCATGACGATTTAATTAGAAAAATGCCAGCAACTAGTGGTGATGTGAGTGAATTTAAGGCCAGCAAAGGTTGGTTTGAGAGATTTAAGAATCATAGTGGCATACATAGTGTGATAAGGCATGGTGAGGCTGCCAGTTTGGACCAAAAAGCAGCTGAAAAATATGTGCAGGAATTCAAGGAGTACATAGACAGTGAAGGACTGAAACCTGAACAAGTGTTTAATGGTGACACTGACAATGTTGTGAAACACTTTAGGAATGTCATAAAGGAACGGGAGGTACAGGCCTCTATGGGCAGATATGTTGTGCGACAGAGGTCCAGTGACTCTCAAGCTGGTCCTAGTGGCATTAAAAGAAGAAGGGAAGTAACCCCAAAAAAGGACTTGCCACTTCAAGTCCTAATGGAATGGGATTCCCCTTCTAAACACCAAGACCATCAACACACTCCCCTCTTCCCATCCCATCAATCATCACCAGATCTTCAATAAAGGTAAGTGTCATGTAACTGTGCATGTCTTCTTCAGTTTGTGTGTATTAAAATTAATATTTCATGTGTTAAAAAAAAAAATTTTCAATACTTTTGGGTGTCTTGCACGGATTAATTTGATTTCCATTATTTCTTAAGGGGAAAATTAACTTGACTAACGATTATTTTGACTAACGATGAGCTCTCAGGAACGGATTAATAGCGTTAGTCGAGGGTCCACTACTGTATTACATATACACAAGCGAGTGCCCATGGCTCAGTTGATGAGTGCCCTAAGCTTACAAGCTGAGGAATCTGGGATTGCTCCCTGGCATGGATGAAAAGTTGGGCATATTTCCTACTGTACAGCTATGACATAATTCTTAGTGTTAAGTAGTCTGTAAGCCAATAATGTTAAGTCGGCCCATAATGCCTAAGTATAACAGAGGCTCTCTTTGCATTGCAACCCATTATTGTAAATTCAAAATCTCAATGTACTATTTGCAAAGACATAAATAAAATAAATAAATAAATACATGTCTCTGTTTGCCTAACAATAAGTAGGTACCTGGAGTGTTAGTAAACTGTTATGGGTCACACAGTGGGGAGGAGATTAAAGGACCTCATTGGAAATAAGACCGATAGTCCCTGATGATGCACGGACTTTACTGGGTTATCCTGGGTGGCTAACCCTCCAGGTTAAAAATCTGAACAGAATCTTATAAGAATAAGAATAAAGTTTATTTTGACTTGATACACGGTTGTACAGAGGAATATAACAGTTCAGTGTACATGCCAAAAGCCCCTTTGTATGCAGAGCATTTCGGGCAAACTTAAAAATTAACTTCAGATTAGGAAGGCAATAATAGTTCATATGGGCATTAGATAAGTTACAGTTACAGTGAGTACAAGAGAATTGAATATTCTATTAGGTAATGCTACATGGCTTTGATAAGTCTAGTAGAGAATAATTACAATAGTAAATTAGTTTATAAAGATTACAGTATCTAAATAGAGTAAACTATGATAATCTGAAAGCCCACAGTACCATATGTGCAGCACTTCAAGCAAACTTAAGAGTAAGCATAATGCATTATACTTACTAGTCTAAATTTACCCAAAATACTTTTTGCATATGGATTTAACTAAGATCCCCTTTGTTCCTTATTTTTTGTTAAATTATCAGAATATGCTCTACGGCAAGTACCATATAACTGATGATAAACAATACTGACCAGTTGATGAATTCAACACATTCATCAGTGTTACACAGAGTGAATTGTTGAGATATTCTAGGTTAAGTCATCATATGTCTTTTTTTTGTACAGCTTATTTAGTTGACATGAAATACAAATTACAGGAAGAATAAATATATATTAATTATATTTATAAAATGATATGATGTTAAGACTGATATCATGTGTTCGGATTGGATATGCAAAATGAGGAAGAGTCAGATGAAGACACCAACTTTTCATATCACTAAAATCAGTTAGTTATTCAGGTAAATGGTTCAGCAACTTGATAAAAAAATAATAAATATAAATACAATTTACCCAACAACACAATTTAGGTTTAGGTTAAAGTAAAAAAGATTAGGCTAGGTTTGGTTAGTGCTTGTTGATAGTTTTACTAAATTTATATAGAGAACTTATTGCCTATAGGAAACTATAGGAGTTTTTTCCTGATCAATCAATGACTTGGGAACATCAGTGAGATCACTTCCACTCAATGGGCATTCTGAATGAGCATTAATACTTTAAAGAAATTGTAGGGAAATCTTAAGAAGTTGCCAATATAAAATGCCACCCCAGCATGAAGTATCTACAATACTTATAAATTATTCACAGTAAAATACAAATACTGTATATGAAGTAAAATACCCTCTACTAGCTTAACTAAACAAGAGCACCAGCTAAACTCAATGGAAGTATTGTAGCAGCAATTTAGTTCCTAATAGTGTTGTTAGAAACCCATAATTAACATAAATAAGCCTTATGTGTAAACTGCCTTCTTCCCTAATGTTGAAATAAATTATGATTATCTTAAAATTGAAATCAAATATGTTGAAATAAAAGCTGGTTATTAATTCTAGCACAATAACACAATCTTGGCATCCCTCAACTAAAACTTTAGCCTAAATTCAGAAATTTATATAGTAATTTATATTATAATTATTATACTTTTAATTTATTCTGTGATAATGTTCACAATCATGACTGACCCAGTTTCTTACTAATAGACTTATATTGCGATAACACTAGCTGTCCAGTCAGGAAATTAAGACACTGATCTAATTTTATATACCGAAACGAAAAGTATAAACTGCTATGGGAACAACAGTGCGTATATATAATGCACGGTCTTTACATTACACTACATACAAGGAACTGCGCATAAAATCTACAGAACACGTACCACGTGACGTGAAATTCCTTGTTTACTCTTCGAACTCTAACATACCTTAAGGAGACATGCCTCATTACTTGTAAATCTCGCTGTAAGATCACCTTAACTTTAACTGTGAACATATTTAACATAGCCTAGAAGATACGACAGCAGTATTTAGAGGGTAAATCGTACTTACCAAGGTCTTGATTTGGCCCATGTGGCAGACATGTTTTGATTAGGGAATTATGGGAACAAAAACGCGGGAAAATGTAGGTTACTTCGTCTTTACTTCTCGAGGAATTATTACCCTAGAAACATCAATATTGAAAAATACATTATTTCTCTATAATTAGAGCACAAACAAATATTTATCACGTACAATTTTTCTATGCTTGGAAATTAAGGCATATTGTTGAGGTTACTTTTAAGAGACAATAGTGTAAAGCACTGGAATATTGGCCGAGCTACGCTTGCTGGTGACGTCATACTACTACGTGACGTCACACTAAGCCATTGATGTGATTGGTCAATTTTACTACACGAGCGCAAGCCGCCATTCATGAGCGGTCCCTTTAAATGTTTGTAAACAAGCGTACCACCTCTACACATTGTGGAATTTTTGTCTGCAGAAAGCACTGCAGGGTTAGTGAAATTGCAATATATTCATACATGTATACACCTATACAAGGAAATAAAAGTTCTTATACATTATAAGTGGTATTACGTAAACTAAAGCTGCAGGTGTTTGTAATCATTACAGATTAAAAAGAATAAGCTGAATATAGTTTTATTTTCTTTTATTGTAATTTTGGGGGAATATTAAAAGTACATTATATAGGTTTAATCTAGGATTACCCAGAAATATTAAGGTGTGACATTAAATACAGTATGGATGTATGTTATGGGCAACACCCGTAACATCCTTCATAAAACCATCCTCTGCCAAGTCAACTCCTAAACATCTGAAAACATTCACTTCTTCCATACTCCCTCCCTCTAATGTTGTATCCAATTTTTCTTTATCTAAATTGTTTGATACCCTCATCACCTTACTCTTATCTATATTCACTTTCAGCTTTCTACCTTTACACACCCTCCCAAACTCGTCCACTAACCTTTGAAACTTTTCTTTAGAATCCTCAAAAGCACAGTATCATCAGCAAAAAGTAACTGTGTCAACTCCCATTTTGTATTTGATTCCCATAATTTAACCCAACCCCTCTCCCAAAGCTGCAAGCTCCTGATGATGTGTTGATTGCAACATGATTATTATTATTATAATCAAGGGGAAGCGCTAAACCCGGAGATTATCACAGCATTGCAACATGAAAAGCTTTGATTATTATTATTATAATCAAAAGAAGCGCTAAGCCACAAGGACTATACAGCGCTGCAGGGCAGGAAGGAAGTGAGAGCATCAGGTGGCAAAAGGGAGATGGATGAGTAATAAGGTTACGGATGACAGCGGGGTAGTGGATGGTGAAAGGTAAAGGGCAGCAAGAGACTGAACTAGAAAGGGTTGAGGGGAGTGCGAAAAGTATCATCAGAGTTTGTGGAGTAAATCAGTCGTTGTCAAGAGTCAATGAGAGAGTCAGGATTAAAGGAGGGTCCATCAGCAAGAAGGGAAGGTAAAGAGAGAGTAGTAGAACGAAGACGGACGTTGGAGGTAAATTCTGCGTGCTCGTTGATAGAGAGGGCAGTCTAACAGAATGTGGCTAACGATACTGGAACTTGACACTGTCACAGAGAGGAACAGGGTGCTCTCCATGAGATACCATGAGTAAGACGAGTGTGGCCAATGCGAAGGCGGGAGAGAGTGGTCTCCCAACCTCGGCACTGATGACAAGAAGGCGGCCAGTAACCTATGCTCGGTTTAATAGAATGAAGTGTGTTACCGAGCAGAGTTGACCAACATTGCTGCCAACGGGTGCGAAGGTGGGTAGCTATTGCAGCAAAATAGTCCAGAAATGGAACACCTTGATAGGAAATTGGTAGGTCATGTACTGCTGACCGCGCAAGCAGTGTCTGCCTGTTCATTGCCTGTACGTCGACATGACCAGGGACCCAACAAAAAAAATATCTTTATGTTTGGTAGAGATACGGCGTAGCCAAAGTTGGATACGGAGAACTAGGGGATGAGATGTATCAAATTTTCGTATACCCTGTAGAGCACTAAGGGAGTCTGAGACTACTACAAATGATGACACAGGCATAGATGCGATACGAATAAGTGCTGCAAGAATGGCATACAGTTCAGCAGTAAAAATGCTAGCTGAAGATAGTAAATGCCCCCGCACGACGCTGTCCGGAAACACTGCTGCGAATCCAACGCCGTCTGAAGACTTAGAGCCATCTGTGTACACAGCGGTGGCATGAGAATGGGAGTGGAAGTGATCAAGAAAAAGAGAGCGGGAAGCCACCGTAGGCAGTTGAGCTTTCGAGCAAGGGAGTGAGAAAGAACAGACCCGAACAGCTGGAACTTCCCAGGGGGGTAGGGAAAAGTGAGATGCTACATGAACATATAAAGGTGGTAACTGAAGGGAAGACAAGAGTGAATGTAGGCGAAGAGAAAAGGGACGGAGCAAACAGGGGCGGTGAACGAATAAAGAATGTCTACTAATATCGGTGACCATTCTATAAATGGAAGGATTGTGTAGATCGTGAGAGCGTACATAGTAGCGAAGGCAATGGGCATCACGGCGATCAGACAAGGATGGAACATTCGCTTCTGTATAGAGGCTCTCAACAGGGGAAGAGCGAAAAGCACCAAGCCACAAACGTAATCCTTGGTGATGGATAGAGTTAAGGCTAGAGAGAGTAGCAGGAGAGGCCGCGGAATAAATCTGGTCACCATAATCGAGTTTCGATAAAACGAGGGCTGAATGTAGGCGAAGCAGAGTTCGAAAATCAGCTCCCCAGGAACGATGAGCAAGGGTTTTAAGAAGGTTTAACCGGCTGTGACAAGTTGCCTTCAGAGAGGTAATGTGAGGTTTCCAGGATAACCTGCGGTCAAAGAGAAGGCCTAGAAACCTGACTGTATCACGTTCGGGATACGGGAGCCATAGAGATACAAAGGATGACGGAGATAACAGAGCGTCTAGTGAAAGTAATTTGGTGAGTTTTGGTACTTGAAAATTTAAACCCATGCGTGGTGGCCCAAGTGGAAACACGGTCGACCGCATGCTGGAGAGAAACTGCAATAAGATGACAGTCAGCGCCTGCACAAGCAATAGCGAAGTCATCAACATAGAGTGATGACCAAATATTGGGTGGAAGAACAGAGGCCAAATCATTTATAGCAAGGAGAAACAGTGTTGTGCTTAGAACACATCCCTGAGGGACACCTTCAGCTTGGACGAAGTCCGGGGAAAGAACATTATTGACTCGAACACGGAAATGTCTGTCAGTTAAAAAGTTCTTAAGGAAGGATGGTAGATTGCCTCGGAGGCCTAAGGAATGGGCCTGGGCCAAAATATTATACCTCCAAGTTGTCATATGCCTTCTCAAGGTCAAAAAATATGGCAATAACTGAGTGATTATTCGCAAAGGCATTACGAACATACGTATCTCATTCAACTCCCCCATGTGGTTGTTTTGCATATAAAACCATGTAACCATTAGAATTTTTATTATTATATTTAGGGGGAAATTGTTAAACCCACAAGGGTCATATAGTACCTTGGGAAGTGGAGGCATTCTTGTTCAATCCAAGGAAACTGAAATCAAGAACAGTTCCTGGAGCCTTCACCAGCTTAAGAAAAATCCCTGAGAGGAGATTGTGCTTCAACTAATGCTACTTCAATGGATTTTTGTTTGTATGAGATGTCATTTTTTTGCAGATAATAGCATCTACCCAGTTGACTGTGGTTTTTAATTATAAATATATCAAAAGGGCAAATCTGACCACACCCAAAAGTTTGTTTCATTATCCTTATCCCCTCAAAGAAGGCTCTTTGATGCTGGTACGGGGCTCGTGATCCAAGACACTGGAAGTGTCCTTACCTTCCTTGAATCATACCTGACTGGCTCTTGTTCCCAGGGTGCTATATGATCCCTGTAGGTTTAAAGCTTCCCCCAATAAGAATTTCATCCTTAAGATCTTGGCCAGTTCCCTTATGTACACTAAATTGCAGTGAATAAATGAATGAGAGGGAGAGTGGTACATACAAGTAGCAGCCACAAAATGAAAGGGGCACCTGCACTAGAGTAAAATGCACTCCTTCACCACAATGGAATGATGTGCAACCAACCCCAACTGCTCCAGCACTGAACCTTCCATTTGTACCTCTGTCCTCCACCAGGCAGTGTTGCCCACCCAAGGGCCACAGTTCCAAGAGTAAGCTATACACCAGGGAAAGTATATTCAAAATAGGCTCTTAAATCTGTAAACATTGTTTGCAATGGATGCAGTAAACAATACCCATGGCTATTTGGCTAAGATTTTATTCAACATTTGTTTACCATTTTTACAATCTTTAAAGCCAGTTGCACATTAGCTTCTGATATTGTTGTTGATGAAATATCTCATCAAAAGGTTAGAACAACACACTAGAAAAAAAAAACTTTAATTGGTGATATTCTTCAGAACATAAAAATGGTAAGAAAGGTATATTCTTATACTCATAAGGAAGCACTAAACCTGCAGAGGTATAATCATCAATATAAGCATGTGTACATTGCATACTGCATTTATACTATATGTATGGTACTTTAATTCTAATGTATTGTTTGCTGGCACTGCAAGCCAAATAATTGTACCTTCTATGAAAGTAAGAACTTAAGTGTTCATCTTTCAAATATTTTGTCAATCTATGATTTTAAAAGTGGGAATATTAAAACAATATGAACACAAAACATGTATATTTGTAAAATATTGAAACCTGACTAAGACCCTTTTATTGGAATGAACAATTTTGTAAGTTTTTGTACAATCATTCCTTATCCCTTTCTTTTTTCCTTATCATGCATCTTCTTCCTTTTTCTTTTCCTTCTTTTTTTTTTTTATGCTTTGTTTTACTTTCTGAACTACTGTCTACAGTTTCTGATTTCCTCCTTTCCGTTTTTTTCCACAACTGGTGATTTTGATCTCCTTTTTCTTCGTTCAGCTGGTGATCGAGATCTGTTTTTTGCTCCGACTTCCCCGATCGCTTTTTTTCTTTCTTTTCGATCTTTTCATTTTCCTTTTTTATTCTCTTTTCCCGTTTCATCTGTAAAGCATAATATAAAATAAAAGATTTCCACATTTATCATTCCTTCATGAAACATGCAACGATTTTCTTTTACACTTATAATACCATGAGCTTCATGGAACAAACAGATCATTTTACATGCCCAAGCTAACAATGGTTAAATTAAACATGAGGAAGTTGCAGATACAAAATAACTTGAGTTATGAATACATATGGTAATACAGCAGGGCCCCTTATACAGTACAGTGGACCCCCGGTTTACGATATTATTTCATTCCAGAAGTATGTTCAGGTGCCATTACTGAACGAATTTGTTCCCATAAGGAATATTGTGAATTAGATTAGTCCATTTCAGACCCCAAACATACACGTACAAATGCACTTACATAAATACACTTACATAATTGGACACATTGGGAGCTGATTGTGAAGTGGGGGTCCACTGTATAAGAAGCTTTCTCCAGTGGGACCACTTATATAATAAACCAAATTAGCTACAAACATCTAATTAACAGAATAAATTACAGGCTTCAACCTGTGATGTGGTAACCAAGAAAATATCCATCATGCAAAACTGCCTTGCCCCCAGCTTGACCTGACTGTTATTAACTAGTAGTTAGCAAGATAGCACACTGGTCATGCAGTTTTATTTCTCAGCTATTTTTTGCAAATAATGCAATGAAATTATACATAAATGACTAATCAGATGTCTCATTCAACACTAATCCTCAAATTATTGTTCTCATTATTATTATTTCTTAAATTTTAATCAACAGGAAGTACTAAGTACACAGGGGTCATGTAGTGCCTAAGGAGTATGAGACATTCAGATTTGATCCAAGGAATGGGAAGAAAAGTCCAACTCCTTGGATCAAATACTCATCACTGGAATCAAGGGAGCCCCCTGGAGTGGATTATTACTATATTCATAGAAAAGTGATTAACTCAAGGATTATGCAGCACCTGGGAAATGGGAGAAAGATGGGGAAGGGGGGGGTGAATCAGGTATGATCCACAGAAGGGACAGGTAGTTACAATTCCTTGAATCAAGAGCTCTTCACCAGAATCAAAGCACATTCCCCTAAAATTTTTATTATTATTTATTTTAATTATTACTTATTCAACAGCCATCTCCTGCCAAGGCAGGGTCAATGAAAGAAATATTATAATTATTATTTTTTTTCATTCAACGAACTGGCCATATCCCACTGAGGCAGGGTGACCTAAATAGAAAAATAAAGGTTTCTCCTTTTAAATTTAGTAATATATACAGGAGAAGGGGTTCCTAGCCCCATGCTCTTGGCATCAGATACAATATAAGGCTCTTGAGAAAGCCACTAATTATGAAAATGCATTTCAGGAAAATTAATCATAAGACTTACTAACTACTAAATTCTAGATCTTAAATAAAATTGAAGTTGGTATAAATTAGGTAAAACATTATAATCATAAGTCCGGTGGGAAGGTTTCAAACGTAGAAGTGATCAATTACAAATTATCATTATTATATTCTTAGGGAAATGCTAAACCCAAAGGGGTCATAAAATGTCTGGGGAATGGGAGGTAATCAGGTCTGATCCAAGAAAGAAGATGGCAGCTGCAATTCCTTGAATCAAGAGATCCTCACCAGCATCACAACCCTACACTCGCTCTCTCCTATTCAAAGTATCTTCCTTCTATAAAAAATTCCTTCAAGTACCAAGAAGAAAGCACTCCAATAAAGCTGCCATGCTTTTATTACCTTTTCTAGCAGTTCTTGCGTGTGGAGTTGTGTCAGAGGTGTTTCATGATCACTTTCTTCTGATGAAGTTGATGAAACATCAAGCACAACATCTTTCTGGGGGTCTACCTGTTACAAACAAATGTTAACTTCATTAATACAGAACGTACTAATCCACCCATGACAATACAACCAGTGCCACTATTTGAATGAACTTATAATTCTAAGAATTAACTAATTTCAGTTCAAGTGCAGTACCAAGTAAACAAAGTACACTTTAAACAGTACAATACAAAATAAGAATGCTTTCAAAATAACAGTTTGCAGAGTCATTCCTAAATAATACAATGCAGTATATTAAACAGAATGCTTAGTTGAAAACTTTTGATTTGTAGTAAATAAATGACTAATGTGCAAAATATGGATGTTATTCAAGACTGAAAAGTAACTGTTCACTAGGAATACAGTAAGCCTAATCTGTACTAATGGCATGCCACAAGGTCGGTCGGTCGGTCTCAGTCTCTCTCTCGGTCTCTCTCGGTCTCTCTCTCTCTCTCTCGGTCTCTCTCTCGGTCTCTCTCTCTCTCTCAGTCTCTCTCTCTCTCGGTCTCTCTCTCTCTCTCTCTCTCTCTCGGTCTCTCTCTCTCTCTCGGTCTCTCTCTCTCTCTCTTGGTCTCTCTCTCTCTCTCTCGGTCTCTCTCTCTCTCTCTCTCTCTCTTGGTCTCTCTCTCTCTCTCTCTCTCTCTCTCTCTCTGTCTCTCTCTCTCTCTCTCTCTCTCTCTCTCTCGTCAAGAAGAGAAGCAAAATTTAGGCTCTTCAGAAATAATTTAATAGTTGTCTATGGCAGAGCATGATTTTTAAAAAATTATTCAGTATAACACAAATGTATCCAATGTATAAATATACTGTAAACTATCAGACACACTATAAACTTGACTTTTAATAAAAATCCCATCAGCAAAGGCTGATGCAATTTGCAATTGACAAATACATGTATATTACATGAAAAATCTGTTGTATGTTGTTTTCTATGTACAGTATTTATAAGCGAATTGTTAATTTTTTGGTTGAAACGAGATAAAAAAAATGATTAAAAAGAGAAGTTTGATGGGGTATGATAGCATAGGTATTAATGGCATTATGAGCCACCACTGATGACAGGTAAACAGATCTCTATATGAAACCACATAAATGGTATATCAAGGATTAGAGAACAAAACTAGTAATGGGACAGTACCAAAATTTTTGCTGATATCAATACCAACAGTCAATTTTAGCTTGATGTTGATACTGATAGTCAATTTTAGATCAATACTCACTGATAATGATACTTCACACACCCTCCTAAACATGAAAATTTACAGGCATACCTTCACAAAATTTCTGCACTGATATGTAAGATGTCCAGGATATCCACATTTCTTGCAAGCTGCTCTCACATCACCACCTCCAGTTGGACCAATGCGGGCCAATAATCTATCCTCCATGGCTTTGCACTTCTGAAATACAAAAATACAGTATAAATTTTCAACATTAAATTACTGTATTACCACATTGTGACAATTTTACTCATTACAAAGTATAACAGAGTATAACTTTTGCAATAAAAGCAGATATAGTTTCTTAAACTATCCTGGGATTCAACTGTTTCTCAAAGTAAAACAATCGGCAGGATCTTGTTTGAATGCAATAGCAGTGTGAGACATCACAGTTGATGGGGAAGTTACACATCTTAAGCTTAACATGTATATAGCTACATCATAAATAATGAGGAAATAGACTATAATTAATACAGTGGAACCTCAAATATCGAACTTTCTTTGGTCCAGAAGGCTGTTTGAGTGCCTTTACCGAATGAATTTATTCCATGAGGAATCTGTATAGTCCTTGTGGCTTAGCGCTTCTTTTTGATTATAATAATCCCATGAGGAATAATGTAAATTAGGTTAGTCCATTTCAGACCCTCAAAAGTACACTTATAAAAGCACTTACAGAAATACACTTACATAATTGGTTGTGTTGGGAGCAGTTCAGTTTTTGAGGTTCCACTGTATTGCCATTATTTAATTGATTAATATTGAAATTAGTAAATTATTATACTGATGGGAGGGAAGAACCAATCCCATAGGTATCATAATACCTGGGGGTAAGTAAGTTTATTCAAGTATACACAAATACAGTTATACAGATTATCATACATAGCAGCATGTGTGTAGAGAACCTAGGATATCCCAAAAACAGTCGGAGTGACTTATTTCCATTGGGGTCCTTGTGATAATTATTTATATTTAAAAGTTAAAAGCAATAAAGTTCAACCTAAGGGGAGGTCAGGTTGAATTCCTTTAATGAAAAGCCTCTCACTGGTATTATGGAATCTCCATTACTATTATTACTTTCAATCACGGGAAAGCACTAAACTTATAGGGGGAGCTCTGAGGAATGGAAGGAATTTGGGCTAAAGCCAAGGAAAGGAAGGATATATCCAGTTCCCTGGCACAAGAGCTCCTCACCAGCATCAAGGAGCCCCCTCTGAGGGAAGAAGTCATACAGCACCTAGATGAATGGGAAGTGATCAAGCTCACTCCAAGGAAGGGGAGTTCAGTCTCAATTCCCTGTATCAAGAGTCCCTTATTGGTATTAAGGAACCTCCCTTTAATAGATATAAGTTGATAAAAAATTATAAAAAAAATAGTTTCATATGCAACAGCTGGCAATACTCAGGAAATAGAGAATATGACAATGCATAACCTAGTTGAACTCAACTGATCTAATGCACATGCATTTTCCTTGAAAACAGCTGAAATGCTAAGATGCATTAGCAGAAATGCTTAGATTATATTAGCCACCACCTGGGTAAATTGATCAATAAATATTACCAAGTCTTTTTTTCTTCTTCTTTAAGCCATCACAGATTATGCAGTAGTCTTACTTTCTGGTGTCCTTGGAGAAAGTATTGTTGAAAGCTGGAAGAGAAGTGGAACAGGATTCCAAACAGAAAAGGTGGACCTTCCCACTTAAAATCTAGGCAGAGACTCACGTGCTACAGACTATTCCTATGAATAATAATTAGTATTATTATTGTTTTTAATACACCGGCTATTTCCCACCAAGAAAGGGTGACCCAAAAAAGAAGAAAAACTTTCACCATCATTCACTCAATCACTGTCTTGCCAGAGGAGTGCCAAGAGGTAATCAGAGAGGAGGAGTTTGAGGTAATCAGTCCCTCAGTCTGGAATCGATGTGTTCAGTCCATCACTCTTATAGAAAGTACAGCATATGTTGTAGATTCGCCGGTACAGCGCCCGGTTCAGCTGCACCTCCAAACTGCAATATCCCCCCCTTCCTTCAGAGTGCAGGCACTGTATTTACAAGCTCCGGGACTCAAGCCCTGCTAATCAGTTTCCACTGAATCCCTCCATAAATGTTACCTTGTTCACACTCCAACATGTGAAGTCATAAAAACAAACTGCTTCCACTCACTCTTAATCTAACACACACACACACACACACACACACACACACACACACACACACACACACACACACACACACACACACACACACACACACACAACAGAGGCTAGGATACAGAGTTTAGAAGAGGAACTGAAAAATCTGAAACAGCCTAAAGAACTAAAGAACATTTTGGGATTGACAACAGAGACTGCTACCTCAGTCACAAATAAGGGGACTGTAGGGAAAGAAGGAGCAAAACTGCATGTAGAAGCTCTATCAGAGGAGACTGTAGTAAATGAAAGAGCTAAGTTATATGTGGAGGCCCTAACAGACCACAGCAGAGCCCAGGGAAAGCCGAGAAGGGAAAATAACAGGCCACTGAGCCCAGTACATTAGCTAGTGAAACTGAAGAAAGGAAAGCTGCAATGGAGGAAATCAAATTGAATGAGGGGATACACAGGGATATGCAGTGGGAGAATGAAAGGGTGAGGTCAGTCTTTGTGTATGGGCTCCACGAAGTTGAAGGGGAAACATATGAAGCAAGAAAACAAGGGGAAAAATAAGCAATTGAAAGCATCATGAAAGCAATAGGAGAAGACGACATGACCCAGCTGGAAAATTTTCGGAGAATAGGGGGGTTTGTAAAAAAAAGAACCCGGCCAGTGAAAGTGACCTTCAAGGCAGAATTGACTCGGAACAGGATCCTGCAGGAGAAAGCACGATTAAGGGACATGCCGGCATACAGGAAGGTGTATCTCGACCGCGACAGAACACAAGAAGAAAGGCAGAAACTGAGAGAGATGGTACAAAGGCGAAAGGAGGAAAGAGAGGGGATGGAGAAGACAGACAGGAGATCCCAGACACAGGAAGATCAAATACAGCCTCCCTCACAACTTCCTATAGAATCCTCCCAACCAGGTCAACCCCAGTGCAACCAAGCACTCTAAACCAAAACACCCATGCCACATCCAATGCCCCCACCCACTGCATTACAAACTCCACCCCCACAGCAACCACCCATAGTTCCTTATCAGGTCTCCCACTTCCCCAACCCCAATACACCTCCCAGACCACAGTCTTAGAGAAGAAGCTGAAGGTGTGGTATACATATGCAGATGGAATAACAAATAAGTATGAGGAGTGGCACGAAAGAATCAAGGAGACATCCCCAGACATAATAGCACTCACAGAAACAAAACTCACCAGAATAATAACAGATTCAATCTTTCCATCCGGATATCAAATCCTCAGGAAAGACAGAGGGATTGAACATTAAAATGGTATAAAATACCGACAGGTTGTTAGGTAAGACACATATGCAACAGTTAGGTATCTTTATTTCGAAACGTTTCGCCTACACAGTAGGCTTCTTCAGTCGAGTACAGAAAAGTTGATAGAAGCAGAAGATACTTGAAGACGATGTAATCAGTCCATCACCCTTAAAGTTTTGAGGCTCCATCCTGTCACTTCATCTCCATATTGTTTCATACTATGGAACAATGCTCTTCTCCAGACTGAGGGACTGACCACCTCAAAACTTTAAGGGTGATGGACTGATTACATCGTCTTCAAGTATCTTCTGCTTCTATCAACTTTTCTGTACTCGACTGAAGAAGCCTACTGTGTAGGCGAAACGTTTCGAAATAAAGATACCTAACTGTTGCATATGTGTCTTACCTAACAAAGACAGAGGGAGGAGAGGGGGAGGAGGAGTTGCACTGCTCATTAAAAACAAGTGGGGTTTTGAGAAAATGGAAGGAATGGATGGCACGGGCAAAAGGGGCTACTTAGTAGGAACAATCCAGTCTGAGGGACATAAGATGATAATTGCAGTAATGTACAACCCACCACAGAACTGCAGGAGGCCAAGAGAAGAATACGATGAGAGCAACAGAGCAATGGTCGACACACTAGCCGAGGTGCCCAGGAGAGCACACATGGGGGAAGCAAAGTTATTAGTTACGGGTGATTTCAATCACAAGGAGATTGAATGGGAAAACCTGGAGCCCCATGGGGGTCCCGAAACATGGAGAGCCAAGATGATGGATGTAGTACTGGAAAACCTCATGCATCAACATGTTAGAGACACTACCAGAGAGAGAAGAGAGGATGAACCAGCAAGACTGGACCTTGTATTCACCTTGAGTAGTTCGGACATTGAAAATGTCATGTATGAAAGGCCCCTGGGAGCTAGTGATCATGTGGTTCTGTGCTTCGACTACATAGTTGAGCTCCAAGTGGAGAGAGTAGCAGGAATAAGGTGGGAAAAAACCAAACTACAAAAGGGGGAACTACTCAGGCATGAGGAACTTCCTTCAAGACTCAGTGGGAGAGGGAACTGACAGGAAAACCAGTACAAGAAATGATGGACTATGTGGCAACAAAATGCAAGGAGGCAGAGGAGAGGTTTGTTCCCATGGGAAACAGAAATAATGGGAAGAACAGAACGAGTCCTTGGTTCACCCAAAGGTGTAGGGAGGCAAAAACTAGGTGTACTAGAAAATGAAAAAGGTACAGAAGACAGAGAACTCAGGAAAATAAAGAGATTAGCCGAAGAGCCAGAAACGAATATGCACAGATAAGAAGGGAGGCTCAGCGACAATATGAAAATGACATAGCATCGAAAATCAAGACTGACCCGAAGCTGTTGTACAGCCACATCAGGAGGAAAACAACAGTCAAGAACCAGGTAATCAGACTGAGGAAGGGTGATGGGGAATTCACAAGAAACGACCGAGAGGTATGTCAGGAGCTCAACACGAGATTTAAAGAAGTATTTACAGTGGAAACCAGTAGGACTCCAGGAAATCAGAACAGGGGGGTACTCCAGCAAGTGCTGGATGAGGTACATATAACCAAGGAGGAGGTGAAGAAGCTGCTATGTGAACTTGACACCTCAAAGGCAGTGGGACCAGACAACATCTCTCCATGGGTCCTTAAAGAGGGAGCAGAGATATTGTGTATGCCATTAACAAAGATCTTCAACACATCATTTGAAACTGGGCAACTCCCTGAGGTATGGAAGATGGCAAATGTAGTCCCA